ACAAAGGAGGCAGTGCTGGGTGCGGGTGACAGGAGTCTTCATGAAGGAGCACCTGAAGACTGGCCTGTGAGGGAAAGGTAGGTCTTCAATGAGGCCCAGGAGAAAAGCGAAGCATTCTAGGCATAGGACACGGTGCATGCATGAGTGGTGGGACAAAAGGCTACACATGCAGCTGGTTGGGGACCAGCATGGGGGCTTGTAAAAGGTGTTAGTATCCTGGCTCTGGGGTTAGTATTTGAGCATGTTGACTAGGCTTGGCTTCTGGTATAAAATTTATCAGTGATTAATCTGTTACTTTGAAAACAAAAGTTGACATCTAGACAATAACTATTAATTGGGTCACCTGAGTGGCTCAGTCCATTAAGCGTCGGACTCTTCATTTCAGCTTAGGTCATGATCTCACGGTTCGTGGCATCAGGCCCCGCATGGGACTCTGCATGGATAGCTTGGAGCTTGGGATTCTCTCTCTCTCTCATTCTCTCTGTCCCCACCCCCGCCCCCCAGCCCAGCCCTACTCATGCTCTGCCACACGAGCATGCTCTCTCCCTCAAAAACAAAAGAAAACGAAACAAAACAAAAAACCAAAAACTTATAAAACAGTAACTATTAATTGGATCATTTTCTGAAACGCACCTGCTCACACATAGTGCCCACCTCCTTACCCTATCACAAAAGCTGACAGGACAGCCGTGCTTTCCTGATCTCCGGTCTGGCTTCCAAAGGAGGTAAATGGATATTTAGACAATGGAGCCTGTCTTCTCTCTTCCTCATTCTAGTCCTTAGCCCCAGGCCTTTCCTGTTGTCTTCAGGGTTCTGAAATCTTGACCTGCCCTCTGAGCCCCCTTCAAAGGTGGCAGCTATTAGCCCACAGCTTTCTGTATCAGGCACTTGCCAATTTAGTGCCTGCTTGGGTTACCCCTGGCTCTCTTGCTGGCCCATGAGCTCTTGGAGGGAATGGTCTATTTTTATACCCCTGGTAAAGATGCCTGCAGGTACCAGAAATTCAAGATTAGTTCCTAACTAGTTTTTTGTTCTCTTTCCCCTCAACTGCTACAGACGTTTCTAAATTTGTAGCCCTGCCACAAGCTCTCCTTCTATCTTAAATCCATTAGAGGTACAATAGCAGGATCATCTTAACTCCACTTTCATTTTTATGACCTCTTCTCTCAAAATTTCACAGAGGCCCTAATTCTCTCTTGGATTGATGCAGAATCCCTAATAATAGAACCTAAGGCTTTATCTAGCTGACTTTATACCTTAGTATATTCTGGTTTAGGATAAATCCCAAAAATTTAACACAGAGCTCAGTGCTACCTACAGCCACTAGCCAGGGGCATAGCACCAAGAGGCACTAAATAGTTACAGAATAAATGAGTGAATTATCTTTTCAATAAACCCTCTCATTTCCTATTTTGCAAACATCCTTCCTGATCATATATATATATATATATATATATATATATATATATATATCCTCACAGATAACATGTTACCAATTTGAAGACAACTTTTTTTTTTCCTGGCAGGTCAGAATGTTTAAAGCATTTGTTCTGACTACCTTCTTTCATGAAATCTGACATCAGCCAGTCAGGATCTAGTCACTTAAAACATTAACAGCTTCAATACTTGTGCCCGTCTAGTTTTCTGTTCAGTAGGATGCCAGTCAAGGTCAAAGATCATGCCAGCTGCTTCCTCGTCATTCTGGGCACTAAGGCAGAGTCTTCTGTAAATAGTGAGTACTAAGTGCTCTTATATAAAATTTTCTCTTAAAGGGCCAATCCACAGATCTAAATCAAATAGCACCTATAGGTTAATCATTTTAGATACAGAGAGCTTAATGGGTTTTTAACAAGTTGGGACATAAATATAGCAGGATTTTGAACTGAAAGAACTTTCCCTCCCCCACAAAAAATTTGGCTAGCTATATTTTCCATACCTATAGGGTTAACATATATTTCACAAAATTTCCTTTTCAGTATTGCTCTGTCATATAAAAATAAAAACAGATAATAATCAACAATAAAAAGATAAAGGTCATACATAGAATCATGACATCAAAGTCATGTGACTTTTCAGCTTATTTGACCTACTAAACTGCTGCACAGGCCACGTGGGAAGACAAAGGTCAGGGGACATGCCTTAGGAGAAGAAAGTCACTGGAGAAAGAGCAGGAAGAACTCTGGAGGGGAAGAGAGCATAGGCAGAACTCCACATTCTGCTCAGTGCGCATGCCTCAGCAGGGGGTTTTTTCTTTTTTTTTGAAAATAGTGTTTCTTTCCCTTTAAATTCAGGCTATTTTTCTGATGTCTTTTGCTTTAAGCAGTCAGTATGGGCACACAACTCCAAAAACATGTCAGGGAAGTGCAAAATATATGATTGCTCTGTTTTTGCAAGTCTTCTCAAACGAGGCAGGTGGACAGAGCAGTGTTCCCCCCACACTGGTCCAAAACACGTCTGTGTGACTGGACAGCTCTGAGGCCATCAGTCCCCTTCACAGCCTTGTAGGGGAGTAGTGATTTTCCCCCTCACTGGAAGTATGGATTAGATGAATTCTGGTAGCCAAGATCGAAAAGACTTCATGATTTTTCCCAAAAAAACCCCTATTTTCCAACTGGCAAAAAAGTTATTTTCTGTATTAGGTACTGGAATTATATAATTACAATTAATCATTTTAGCTTCAATTTTGGGAAAAAGTACTTTGTTCAGATTTATGAGAAGTATATTTTGTTAGAGTTTACGAGAGTTGCTATGAAACACAATAATTTGGGGGAAAATAAAAGAGACAATTTGTGCTGATGGGGCCATGGATGGATGACTGACAATGGATGATATCACCAACAGGCAATTATAACATCCAGCATTCCTAAATGATCTAATAATTTGTTTTGAAGAAATATAGCTTCTAAAAGACAATCTAAACATTTATTTGGATAGCTGTGCATCAAAATAAAATTAAATATAGAAGTAAAGGAATTAATTCCAACCTAAAAAATCAAATATTTAGCCACCAACTGAAAAATGGTATGGGTTCCAAAAGTTTGTAAATGAATTATTTGCCACACTCAGTGTATTTCCTGTGGGAAAAAAAAAAAACACAAACATTTTCTATGGGAATGTTGTAGGTAGTAGTAAGGCTCCCAGTGTGACCCTCAAAGAAGTAGATTAAATATTAGGAACACATATGTAGAGTGTATGTCGTAAAAGAGCATGAACATTACAGAGCCAAAGACTCCTGGATGGCAGTCCTGGCTCTGTCATTCTCCGGTAGAATGCCACGAGAAGTTGTGTGCTATGTGGTCTCTGGCAAGAAGTCAGCCTCCCAGAGCAGCCTCTGTCTGGCCCGTAGCACACAGGAAACCCGGCCCCTGAGCAAGGCTGCTGCCTCGGAGGGAGGATTTCCTGTGATGGGGACCCCGCTTGTATCCTGGTGTTCTCAGGTGGGAGGCTCACGTGTAGAGTTGACGTCAAGGAAGATTACCTCCCACATGGTCCTGATACCGTTAAGGCTGTCAGGTCCACCTGTGAAGGCAGCGATACCGCTTACTGTAACTGCATAGTCTGTCAGGGGTTTGCAGTTCTCAGACTTAGGACTCAGATGAGGTTCAGCCTTAATAAAGACAAGGTTCATGTGATCCAATTAAACTTTTCACACACACAGATATGCTTTCCAAATGAGCACTGCCCCCCACCCATAAGGAAACTGCATGATAATACAGCCACCCTTTCATAAATAAAAAGAAGCATTTGTTATAAGATAAATCTGCATGCTTCAATAAAATGTTCTCGTATCTATCTAACTAGGGCTTATAGGGGATCTTTCAATGAAATACATGTCTTTTAGAAAAAAGAGCCATCTCTCACCTGCACAGTACCATATGAAAGCCAGATGGTACACAGAGTCGTGGCCAATGGGAATGCTGACTGCTCACAATTTAGTTAGTTTTTAAAAATGTTTATTTATTTATTTTGAGAGAGAGAGCACGCACGCAAATGAGTAGGGAGGGGCAAAGAGAGGGACAGAGAGAATCCCAAGCAGGCTCCACACTGTCAGAGCAGAACCTGACAAGGGGCTTAATCTCACAACTGGGAGATCATGACCTGAGCTGAAATCAAGAATTGGGCACTTAACCAACTGAGCCACCCAGGTGCCCCAAATGCTCACAATTTAGAATGACTGTGACTAGAATGTTCATTATGCAAACCAGTGGAAGATGCTATCCATAACTGTTTTAAAATCAGAATATCATATACTCATAATGGTTTTTTTCTCTCTTTCCCAGATACTGGTATAAGCTCAGATGTTCCTACAATTAGACAAAAAATTAACATCAAAAGAGTTAAAATAACACACTATTCAAGGAAGGAGAGATTATAATAAAATAGAGAAAATCCCAAATTTACTGTTTATACTAATTCTCTATATGATTGAATAGTATGATTAAAAATGTTCCTTCTTTTTTCCTAATTCATAGATTTCAGATGATTACTGGAGAAATAATAGCCACAGTTTGGACCAGATCTATGTACCATTCTACCTTGCTTATCCAAAATCATATTTTAAGGTAAGGTACCATGAAACTTAACAGAGAACAAAACTTTCTTACTATGGGAAGCAAAAAGATGTGACAACTTAAAGAGTTTTATTTAAAGCTTATAAACTGCCTGTACACTAAGTTATATTTTCGTTTATATAAACTGGCTCATGCGAAGCTGTTTTATTTCTTAATTAGTATACAGAAAATAAATCTTTATGATTAAAACACATATATATAACATTTTGTATTTTCTTAATTTTTAATAAAATTAGGAGTCACTAAACCTGTATAACTGTTTTTGTTGCTAATTATAATTTTTTCCCCTAGAAGTACTTTATGGGCTTTATTCAACTCTGACCTAGTTTTATAGACAAACTCTAGGATCCTGGTTTATTGCCCTTAAAACTAAGAGATAAATCACTAATTAAAGAGCCAGTCATTGCAGCAATTACAGAGGGTCCTCACCTTCCTCTGGTGGCCTTCTGTAGAACCTTCATTCCCATCAGGCTGCAGGATTTCCCTTCCAACTGTTGGTCTTTCAAGATGGCGCCCTCAGAGTATACTTCACTGAACATTCCATAGGCATCTTGCACGAGAAGGCAGACTCTACAAGAGAATATTCACATTTTTTTTTTAGAAGATAGTTTTTGATTCACTACAGAGAATAGGATTCCCTTCTTCTTCACTAGGAATCCATTGAAATCATCTTCCTGAATGGATAAATCAGGGTAAATGAAGTTGAATTCAAACATGCGCTTTTAGATTTGTACTTACAGGTGTTTGGATCCGTATCCACCTCATATGGAAGGAAACAGAATTCTCTTTTGGCATAAAACTAAACCCTAAGCCAAATGTGGTTTAAAAGCACACGAAGAAGATCATCCTTTCAAATAAAATATATTACCACTGTCCCCAAAAGGGTATCCTTCTTCCCCATTTTTATCTTGCCTTTTATAACAGGAAACATTTATATTTTGCATGGATGCTCAACATTGAAAAACCTTCAGTGTTAACATTATGATGAGAACAGTAAGGGGCTTTCTCTGAGAAAGTACATATTCACAGACATGCATATCCCAGTAGGATAAAAACCAGTATCCTTGCTGGCAGCAACAGAGGCATGATGGATATTCAGTGACATGATGGGATTCCCCCCAACTTTTAAGTTCAAAGGGCAGTACTTATAAACACCTCTTTTCTTTTTTCTTAAAAAAATCTCTCTCTCTCTCTCTCTCTCTCTCTCTCAAGATGAACAAGCAGGGGACAGAGGTTGAGGGAAAGAGAGAATCTTAAGCAGGTTCCATGCTCAGCAAAGAGCCTGACCTGGAGCTCAATCCCATGACCCTGGAATCATGACCTGAGCTGAAATCAAGAGTCAGATATTCAACTGACTGAGCCACACAGGCATCCCTATAAAAACCTATTTATCACTGAATTTCCAATCCTCTCACTTCATAATTCAGGGAAATGAAGTCTTACTTATTATGATATGAAACATTCTCAGAAAATATTTACTGAAGCCTGAAGAAAATTTAGGTAATAAATAACACCACCAAAGAGAGTGTGAGGAACAAAACTATTTTAAAGATGAGGGTGTACAGGAAAGTGCATGTTGGGTAAGAGAAGATGACAAATGAACAAAGGAACACTAAATATGAAGTAGTGAACTATAAACATGCTTAGAAACTAGGCTTCATGATTAAGTCTCCCCTCTCAGGCCCACAGGGCCCCCTTGGTTCACAAAAAAAGCAAATGGAAATCTTGTGTGAAGGAAACCACCTTTAATTTGATCATTACTTGTCATGCAGTAAAGCCAAATCAAATAAATATGCACTCCAATAAAAATCACCTCATAGGAAACAAACCACTACATGGGAAGAGTAAAAAAAAAAAAAAATAACAATAGACCTCTTGAGAACTTGACATATTAGAATTTAAAGATATGAAGTATGGAATAACTATCTTAAAAAAAGGAAATTCATGAAGATGTAATACAAGACAAAAAGCTGTACAAAATGACTTGGCATGTTTGAAGAATAAAATTAGAACTTTCAAAAAGGAAACACTCCACTTACTGAAATAAAAATGTTATTAAATAGGTGTAAACAAATGGTTACATGTACCTGAAGAGTATGGATATGTGAATTGGGTTACAAATTTGAATAAATTACCTAGAATGTATGTTGAGAGCTGAGATAAAAAATGTGAGAGGAAAGAGAAGTACAGAGGATAGGATGAGAAAGTCTAACATTTGTCTAATAGGAATTTCAGAAGAACAAGAGAGAGGAAGAAGAAGCAATAGTTTGTAGATTTAGTAACTGGGATATCTAATGTAAGAAATGAATCCAAAGATCCAGGAAGAAAAACAAATACCAAGCAGTACAACTAAAAGGAAACCCATCCTAGGACACACACTGTAATAAAACTAGAGAATATCAAACACGATGAAAAGATTCTAAAAGCAAAAAGCATGAAAAGACAGACTATCTACAAAGGAATAAAAATTCGATTTACACCAACCTCCTCAAGAGCAATGAATGAAGCCAGATAACAGTGAAATATTTTAAGAATTCTGGAAGCCATCTCAAAACTGTGTACCTGCAAAACTATCTTTCAAGAATGATGGTAAAATAAAGTCATTTTTAGATAAACACTAGCTACATTTTCCACCTACACAGCCTGAAATATTTACTAGTTACTAAGATAATTACTAAAATAATTTCTAAATTATGTAATTTAGGAAGAAGGACATTATTCTGGAAAAAAAGGTCGAAGATACAAGGACTACTGACCAACAATATAAACAAAACAAACACAGTAGAATAAAATAACACCACCATCAACAACATCAATTAATGTGGGGGAGCTGAAAAATTGGAAATGGAGAGCAAGTAGGTCAAATGGGGTGATGAAGTTCAAATGTTTCCAAGTGCTCATATCACTCACAGCAGGATTAAGATATTAACTCAAGATTTCATTAAATATTTACATCTGGTAAAAATTCAAGGATAACCACCAAAAGAAAAGAAATAGGTGTATAAATTCCAAATTACTAGATGGAAAAAAATGGAATGAGAAATATAGACCAAAAAAAAAACCCCAAAACAAACAAACGAGAAACAATACCACCTCAAGAAAATGCACACATAAGAAAAGGGCAGGAAAATGTAAGGTAATAAGTATAATGGTAGACATAAGTCTATGTATATTAGAAATGGAATAAAAATGATTTAAACTTGTCAATTAAAAGGCACAGTTTGTCATGGTCGGTTTGAAGGAAAAAAAATGTTAACAGGAAATCTTCTAAAACACAGAAAGGTTTAAAGGGTGAAAAAAAAATGTTTCAGGTAAATATTAACCAAAAGAAAGCCGAGGCGGTAGTTCTGAGACTTAACTAAATAGATTCTAGGACAGAAAGCATTATTAAGGATAGAGAGGTCACTAATATTGATTTCAAAAAAAGTTTAATTTCCCAGGAAGGCATATAATTATAAATCTTTATGTTCTCAGCATCAAAATATATAAAGTCACACAACTACAGAGAGAAGTGAACAAACCCAACACCATTGTGGGAGAGTTCAACATACCTCTGCCAAGTATTAAGTCAATCTGAGGAAAAAATTAGTAAAGATTTGGAAAAATTGCATATACCTAAAAAGTTTGATTTGTTGGATAGGCAATCAGAAAAACTTCCCACAATCACAGAAAATGCATTCTCAAGCACACATAGGACATTTATAAAATGTGACCAATTGGCCGAAGACAGGTCTGAATGAATTTCAAAGAGTCAGTATTGTATGGGACACATTGTCTGCCTACAATATAATTAAAAGAGAAACAAAGCAAAAATAGGTATCTTTAAAAATCCTCCATTTGGAAATTTCACAGCATCCTTTTCAACTCATAGGTCAAATATGAAATCACAGTAGAAAAGAGACAGTATTTTGAACTACGGGATAAAAATACCAGACATGCCAAAACTTATGGATTATAATGATGCTTTAGGGAATTTGTAGCTTTAAATATAATAAAACATGATCACTTCTCCTTTTCTATGTAGATCTTTTTTTTTAAATGTTTATTTATTCTGAGAGGGAGAGAAGGAAAACACACACACACACACACACACACACACACACACACACACAGAGTGCAAGCAGGGGAGAGGCAGAGAGAGACGGAAACACAGAATGTAGAACAGGTTTCAGGCTCTGAGCTGTCAGCACAGAGCCAAAAAAATCTTTTTTAATGTTTATTTATTTTTGAGAGAGAGATAAAGAGAGAGACAGAGAGAGAGACAGAGTGTGAACAGGGGAGGGGAAGAGAGAGAAGGAGACACAGAATCTGAAGCAGGCTCCAAACTCTGAGCTGCCAACACAGAGCCTGATGTGGGGCTCGAACTCACAGACAGCAAGATTATGACCTGGATTGAAGTCAGAGGTTTAACTGAATGAGCCACCCAGGTGCCTCTTTGAATTCGTTTTCTATGTATTTATCATAAGTTATATACCTCTGTCAACTACCAAAGTGTTCCTTCAGGGTGCTGAACCTTACAGGTACTCTGCCTTGAAAGGGCTCTCCTGGAGCCTCTGCTCCTGGAGCCTCTAGAGTCCAGTCTAGACTGGTTAACATCCACCTGTGGCATGGTAGTTAACCTGGGATCGCTTGTCAGAAAATCTGAGGGATTTCCTTTGCTGCTCTAGCATGTTCAGTGTCGTATTTTCCATATCTCATACCTTCCTTTTTAAACTTTTTTTTAAATGTTTATTTATTTCTAAGAGAGAGAGAGACAGAGTACGAATGGAGAAGGGGCAGAGAGAGACAGAGAGAGAGAGGGATACACAAAATCTGAAGAAGGCTCCGGGCTCTGTGGCTCGAACTCACGAGCCATGAGATCATGACCTGAGCCAAAGTTGGACGCTTAACTGACTGAACCATCCAGGCATCCCTCATATCTTCCTTTTTTAATTGACTGTAAGTTAGTAGGTCACATCTTCTAACTTCCTGAAAAGGGGGGATTGGGAGCTAAAATTTTTTTTTTTAATTTTTAAAAAATATTTATTTTTTTTTTAGAGAGAGAGAGAGACAGAGAGAGCAGGGGAGGGGCAGAGACAGAGGTAGACATAGAATCCAAAGCAGGCTCCAGGCTCTGAGCTGTCAGCACAGAACCTGACATGGGACTTGAACACATGAACTGGGAAATCATGACCTGAGCCGAAGTCAGAGGCTAAACTGACTGAGCGACTGAGGCGCCCCAGGGAGCTAAAATTTTTTAAACGTTCATGAAATTTTTGTTAAACTATCCTCAAACTTTACGGGTAGTTTGGCTGAGTATAGATTTCTAGATTGGAAATAATTTTTCCATTCCAAATCCAATACTGCTTGTCTTCCTCCTTTCTATAGGGGAGATGAGCTCTGTTCTAGTTCCCAGGGTGCTGACACTGAATAGTGACAATTCCTCAGTACACTGGGTGAGTGGTATCCTTACTGAGCCCCTTCACAGTGGAATCACATCTACTCTAAGTCATTTCATTGATAATTCTTATTTTTTCTTTTCTCTCATTCTGGTTATTGGACATCCTGGACAAGTTCTTTAATTTTCTTAA